CCAGCTCGCAGATGTGGTTTGGTCGTGCGACTGGCTGCGATCTGGTTGCGCGACCAGATCGCAGCTAGGGGAAAGGGGAGGGTGGCGGAGGAGAGGGGGAGGGATAGAAAAAAAAAAGAAAAGAGATGGGAGCACCAACATATCGGTTAAAGGGGGAAGGGGAGGGTAGGAGAGGGGGAGAGGGAAAAAGGAAAGAAAAAAAAAAAAGGGAAGGCCGGCGATGAAGGTGGTGGTGGATCGGGGGAGAAAGAAGAATAAAAAAGAAAGTTTTTTGTGTATTAGATTTTAAAGTATGTAGGTTAAAAAATTTGATAAGTTTTTTTGAATTACTGTAGTTAAAGTTGTTAAAAAACTAGTAGCAGACAAATTTGATAAAAAAAAACTCAAGTCCCAAACAAGGTCTCAATTCAATAAACATATAGCTTTAGAAAATATATGTAAAAACTTCAAGTTATCCAGAATGTATTCTAAAGAAACTCACTGAAATTGCACTCCAATTCGGGCAAGCCAACAGTGAATGCACTTTCAAATTTGTGAACCAAACAATCAAATTAAACATTCAAGTGTAGGCCTTCATTCTCTCTCTCTCTGTTTTTTTTTTTTTTTTTATGGTGTAGAAAAAGCTTGTATAGTTTTAATTTTGATCATCACCATGAATTAAAATATATTCTCGAAATCACAAGTAGCACAAGTAATTTATATTATCTAAATGATCTGTATTTATCAACTGAGTCAACATGTGTCGACTGTTCATTTGTATACCTTACAAATAACAAAGAAAAGAATATAATTAAAAGAAGAATATAATTAAATGGGAAAAAAGGAGACAAATAAAAAACAGCTTGGTGGCGCGCAGAAAAGCCGTTTTCGTTACCAACAAAAGAAAAACAAAAGAAGGTAAAAAGGATGAGCCATCAGCCATGTTCAACTCGTCTACTCACTACTGAGTCAACCCCGATTTAATCACAAAATAAATAAAAAATAGTCATCTGCTCTGCTTTCTCCATTTCCCATTTGTTTCCTTCTCGAAACTGTTCCGGTCGTCTCTCCCTTAAATCCTAAACCTCCCTTTTTACTTCTTTTCTTTTAGCAGTATTTGGTATAGTTTTGTTGATCAAGAGTAAGGAGGAGCGGGAGCAGGAGCAGGAGAAAGAGGAAGATGTCGAATTTGTACGGCGGAGGTGGTGGAGCAAATCTGAATCAGAAAATTGATTATGTGTTCAAAATAGTACTGATTGGGGACTCTTCCGTCGGCAAGTCGCAGCTGCTAGCTCGGTTCTCCAGAAACGAGTTTAGTCTCGATTCCAAGGCCACAATCGGGGTCGAATTCCAGACGCGGACTGTCGTAATCGATCACAAAACCGTCAAAGCTCAGATTTGGGACACCGCCGGCCAAGAAAGGTACTTGTAGATATCTTATATTAGCCGTTATTCATTTCAGATTTAGTGAAGTTGTTTGCTGTTGCTTGTGTGTGAAAACTGCGAATGAAGGTTTAGTTGTGTGATCTGAAATGATTTTTGTGTAATTCTCTGGTATTTCTTTTATTTCGTTCTATTTCGATTACTAGTAATTTGAGTGTGATGTTGCGGGTTTGAGATTCCAGTAGTATTAGATTTGTAATTTAGATGAGCTAATAGTTTGCTTTAGCCTGTCATGCTTTTTCCTACTCTGTCAAATAGAGCTCCAGCAAGTGCTTCGTGTTTAATTAAGAATACGATGTTGTATGAGGGAAAAAATAAAAGAAAAGAAACTATTAGTTGGAAGGTTCTTAAACAGAGAGAGAGAGAGGGTGATGTAAAGCAGTCAGATTTTCGAAGCTCATTATGCCATGAATTTAACCGTCGTGATTTAGTAGTAGTGTATGTGTTTCAAAATTTCAGGTTAGGATAGCCTTTTGGAGTGGAAAGAGTGTCAGTAGTTCTGTTGTGAACCTGGGATTTTGGAACTGAACTAATGACTATTAATCATGAGAAAGCTGGTATTTGATTCGAGCTGTGGAGGGCTGTGTTTATGTAGCTTATTTATCATAGTTGTTAGTTATTCAAAGAGTCAATTCTGTATACATTGTCAGATTCTCTGTTTGTTTGTACAAACTAAATAACAGAGAAGGTTCCCCACCTTCAAAGATAGAGACGAGGTGATTAAGACATGGGGTGAACATGTTTGCCCAGAGCTTAAATTCTTTGGTGAGATAGAATATTTGGAGCTACACTGCATGAGAATGTGATCGTGAGAGTGCAATAGCATCACTTTCTTTCCTTATTATTTACCACCACTATGTAAATAGCATGTTATAATTAATTGCTCTGCTTATGGTGCAGAAAGTTGGCTTCACCATGATATGCTAGAATGATGAATTTGGGTCTGAGTTCCTGTTGTTTATGCCTTTTGAAATGATTTAACTCTGATTGCTATCTGGTAGCTTGTAGATTCTAATAATTCATATCATGGATATTTGTGTCTTCCAAGAATTTTTTTTTTGGATCACAATAACTGGTCTTTTTTAAAAGAGTTCTTTGAGAACTTTAAGCAATAATTATTTAAGGAGAGTGATTGCTTGTATTTTGAATGTGATGGATAAGTTGCTTTTGATTCAACGTGATGATCTAGAGAAGTTCATTTTCAAATAACACTTCGACTGTCTTGCGAAGCTCACTTCTGCTGAATTATGGATTCCATGGGTCAAACTGCTAGAGTTTTGAATGTTAATTCTGCTAGAATTTGAATAAAACTGTTAAAAGATATGACAGATTATGCCCTTTTCGGTGATCAGGTTTCTTATTTGGTGAGGAAATAATCTACCACATATCATGATTATTATTATTATTTGGGTTATTATCCAAATATTGATATTCTTATTGCAAATTAAAGAAATGTTGTTGGTTTTATTTGTAATCCCAGGATAACGAAATTGATTTCTGAGAAGTCTACTTTAAAGTTTGTTTCTGAGAATTAGACTTTAAAATTGATTTCTAGGGATCACCTTCTTCTTTCAACTTCTTTTTCTATGACTTCCACCCCCTCTCCCCCGCCAAAAAATAAATAAATAAAAAATAAAAAAATTCAACACTCTGCAGCCCAAAACATTATCCACTGCCCTTCTTAACTCTTCACTCTCCTTTTCCTCAAGTCTCTTCTCCAATTTTTCCAATCAAACAACGAATTCACTTTTGATACGCAGCCACCAAGAGCCATTGCCAGTAGCACTAGTTCTAGTTTTGTAATCATTTTATTACTTGCCAACCTCCTCTTTTGATTCTTTCCCTGCACTTTTTGCTTGTTGGTATCCTTATTTTGACGTACTAATAGGTTTACTTCTACTGCTGATGACGATGAGTTCTTCTTCACTGGTTGTTCACCATTGACAGCCGTGGTGGAGAGGGAATTATTAAGGAGTGAAAGAGGCTGGAGCGGTGGGGCACGTGATCTGCTTTTGTGGCTATTATTTTACTTTGTTCTTTCTCTACGCATAGAGAATTGATGGAGCAGGAGAAGGGGAGAAGGAGAGTGAGGAGTGGAGGGATTTTGGGAAAAAAAGAACGCAGAGAGAAGGAACAATATCTGGGAGCGCCAATAGAACGAAGAATATATATATTTTAATTTCTAATAAGCACATCAACTTTTGATAAATAACCCCTTATTCTTTTATTGTTAAATTGCTGGATTCACACAGTTCATAGTCTTTGGGATTCACACTGTTCAGTAATATTCTGCAATGATTGCAAATAAATCTCCTGGTATCCATCATTGTATCTTATTAAGTTGTGATTTACCTGACTTTGAACCTTGATGGTTAACTTCTTAGAAGGAGTTGCTGCATGATATACTGATTTTATCACATCAAGATAAGGTTCTGATGCAAAAGAGTTTTTGTATCCACAGTGTAAGTGAAAGAAATTATTGAACTGTTAACTATGTGATTTATCTAAAAGTTCCAAATTGAAATGGATAGCAGCTAGCTGCTGTAGGATTGGATATTGAAGAAAAGTTGATATTAGATTTTATATTTGCCAAGTGGCCCAAAATTTAAAAAAGATTTGTCCGTTGTGTATGTGTATGTGAGAGTGCACCAAAGCAACTGAGCAACATATAATTGTTGCTGAGGTACGGAAATAAAAGTTGATTGGTGCCTCTTATTGTTGTCTTGCAGTAATGCTATCCATTGAGCTTTGCCTTGTTAAGGTTTGAGTATCTTCTTTCATGGTAATAAGCACAAGGATATGGTGGGGTTGGGAAGTTTGGGCAATGGAAAAGAAGTGGTTCAATATGCAGGATCTGTTGAGGCTTCATATTTTGATTTAAACTACCGTGTGCACATTCAATGATTTTATGTCTTTGTTAGTTTTGTTAAATTTTGATATTTGTGATTGAATCCGTTTTCTAAGATCCCTGGCGGCCAGAGACATCAGACTCAAGATCTCTTGAGGACCAATTTGTCAAGTCATATAAAATTGTTACTAGATTTTTATATTTTTCTTTAATTCCTGTTTTGACTTATATCTCTCAATGCATTAAATAGATCTAGAAGTTCGCTACTTTACTGATGGACTTCAGTTTCTTCTCCCTAACCCCTATATTCTTTTCACCTCATTTTATGTTACATCTGATTAGTCAGTCAATTTGATCAATTGTTCCTTATGGTTACCTCAGATATCGTGCAGTAACAAGTGCATATTATAGAGGTGCAGTGGGGGCTATGCTGGTTTACGACATTACCAAGCGTCAATCATTTGATCATGTTGCTAGGTGGTTAGAGGAACTGCGGGGCCATGCTGATAAAAATATCGTTATCATGCTTGTAGGCAACAAGACTGACCTTGAGAGTCTTCGTGATGTATCCACTGACGATGCTAAAGAGTTTGCCCAGAAGGAAAACTTATACTTCATGGAAACCTCAGCACTGGAAGCAACTAACGTCGAACCTGCATTCATTACAGTTCTAACAGAGATATATCGAATTGTCAGCAAGAAATCGCTTGTCGCAAATGAGGAAGCAGAATCAGAAGGAAAATCAGCTCTTCTCACGGGAACCAAGATAGTTGTCCCTAGCCAGGAGCCTGTACCAGGGGGAACAAAGTACAGCTGTTGTGGATCTTCATGAGAGAACCCTTTCATGGGAAATATATCTCTTTACACTATGAAGCAAGGATTCCGTCTAACTGTCTAGACACATACAAACACACACCATATACATCTCTCTGTAGTGCATGCTAGGATTAAGCGCACGTCTTTTTGAAAAATCTCAACAGGTAATTCTTCCAAGGAGATGCTGCTGAGTGAATTACAGATCCCACTATATGAGAGGTCAGTTTTCCCCTCATTTTCCAGAACTCGTTGTCATCTAATAGTGTTGGTGTTGCTCGGATATTCTAAATAAACCTTGATGCTTTCGGGTCTTGCAAAAAAGTGAAGCCGAGAAGAGTCCTCACCTCAAATTTAGAGCGCAACACTTGTTATTTTGAGTGAACTGAAGCTTAAATCAAGTACAAATGCATTCATCTCTGCTTGCTGTATAATAAATACGTCCTTGTGACCTATGTTGACAATGCTGTTCGTGGTGGGCGATTGTATGAGCAGCTTTCTACCAGAGTCTGTGCATTAATTTTTCCTGTATGTTCCGGGCTTATTTGAAAACTCTGTTGTCGGGCATAAGTATGCTAGTTTAATGCATTTCACAAATATGGTGCTTTCTAAAGACTGCAGGCTCTATCTTTTTTTCTGGGAAAACATAATCTCCATCAATACTCTATGATGGTGCTTATTTGTACGAAGTAAGCAGACCGTCTTGTCGATAAAAATTTGGACATACAAATTATCCTGGTAATCAATTTGATTCAGAGCAAGTTCAGAACAAGTAATACTCCTACCAAACGTCAAATGATCAGTATAAGAAATATCGTTATGTTGTCCTTGCAATGATTAAGGTAAAATTTTGTGCGAAACTTACTGATCCTCTATAATAATTATGGGCGACATGCATCAAATAAACCCACTTAATGGATGAAAAGGTAAATAAAATTTATCAATCTTCTCGAGTCACCTGTGACCATGATTTCCTTTCCTGTTATGATATATGTGTTTCTTTTCAGAAGGGTGATAGCGTTGCTGCAGTAATTTCCATCACCTTTCCCCTTGTAATCAGCAGAAAATTATAGAGTAATCAGCTCCTTGGCAGGTAAAAGTACTGGTTGGATCATCAAAAGCATAGGAATAAGCTGTTGGGCAGGCAGCTTTGAACTCTTTAGAATACACTGAAGGCTTGCACGTATTTGGGTTACTGTAGCTTCCTGCACAACAGAATTCAGGTTTACCAAAAGCAAGGCATGCACTTTTGCATGCAACCACCTTCCCATCTGATGTAACTTGCAGTTCTGGTCGACATTGCCTGTTCAAGTCTGCAGTACATTCTGCCCCGGAACAATTTGTCAGAGAAGGGACTATAGAGATCGGGATGTTGAATCCATCCACAAGGCTAATGTCATAGAAATCCTTGGGGTTATCAAGGCTGAACTCAGCAAGCGTTGCTGGCGGTACACCACCCGCGCCGTTACATCGTAAGGCTCCGCCGCAGTCACCGGTGGCGCACTTTCCGTTGCCGGTTTCGTCAAAGGTGCATTGGCTACGTGCCCAGAAGCGGCCGGCCCATCCAGTAGGTGCAAAGATGGTTGCAGCAGAATGTGGAGGTAGGCGGAAACCACCGTTGGCTAGCTGGGGTTTTCCTGCATTTGCTAAGATCCCTGGCCATAGTGTGACCTCACAATCATTTCTGAAAGTAAATAATTTTGCATCAGCTCCTGGAAGAGTACAAAAATCCAAAAAAAAAAAAAAAAAGGATCAGGATAGAGAGAGTTTCTTTTAACATCAATTCAAAAAAAAAATGAAATGGCTGTGGAGTCGAACCGGTAAATTACCTAAATAGGAGAAGAGTAGGACAAAGCAGAGGCGCCCTAAAGCCATGAGTGTTACAAGAGTGGTGAAGAAAATAAAGCCGGAGAAGACATGATTAAAAAAGAATCAGGAGCCCTATTTATAAAGAAAAAGGGTTAACTACTTGGCTGATTGAATTCAGTGAAACTGTTGAGTCACGAGAGGAAGGGAAAATCGACAAACTCGTTAAACTGTACAGCTTGTGCATCATGCCCTTTAGTTCTCATGCAGAATAAAATGCTGAATTGTTGTAGCTCATCTTGCTGTGATAAAATGATGACCGAGTAAACAGAGCCATATTTATAGGAATATATAGTTGTAGAACAATCAGAAGAATCCCGCAGCACAAGAAGACAATCTTTACATGTTATTAACTGCAAAATTGCCCTTAGATCTCGAACTAATTATTTAACTTACTAGAATATTAGTCAGAATTTGCTACAACTTTTTTGGTAGGTGAGTGTGCTTGTGATCGTTATTGAAGCAAGCGAAATGTGCCACAGATGAATTGGGTAATTGCAGAGCTGGTACTTTCCAAGTGCTGTCCATGAGGACCACGGAATCATCAGATGGGATCCTTTGTCCATTATGTCTGTCTATTTTTTCTGTTCAATGTAAAATTATATAGTTCTACTTATTAATAGACAGATATAATGAACAGAGGATCCTCGTGTAAGTGAAAGATAAATTTTTGGACTTCCAAATCTTTTTCAGCAAAAAATAATGGCGAAATCAGCTCCATTGCACGTAAAAGTAGTTGGTGGATCATCATAAAAAAAAAAAAAAAAAGCTTTAAGCACTAGTCTTTGAACACTTGAGAATATTTTCTGTAGGCTTGCACTTTCCAGGGCTGGTGTACTCTCCAACAAATATTCAGGTTTACCAAAAGCATGGCATGCACTTTTACATGCAAACTTCCAATTCTCGTGAACATATTTGATTCCAGGGCTGTTGTAGGGGCACATTACTGTTGGACAATCCAGCTGTGAAATAGGAACGTTGAATCCATCCATATGGCTAACATCATAAAGATCAACAGGGCTATCTTCCGCCAGCAATAATGGGGGTGCATCTTCCTCTTTCGTTTTAGATTCTCTTTTAAAAACCATTTCAAAATAGGTAGTATTTTGTACCAAATAAAAATAGGCTTAATTTTCTTTTTTGTAAATGATCTGTAAAGAATATCTGATATCAATACAAACACAAGTGACATTTTGACCAAGAATACAGAAAAGGCTTAATTAATTGTAATATGCATCTCTGAAATATTTATTACCGTGGAACGTACCCCGCCCGTACTATCAATCGTCCTAGCTTGTCAAGTAAAAGTCCCATTAATTTTTTTTTTTTAATAAAACAAAAGCTAGGTAGAGGGGAGAAATGAAATTTCATCAAAATTTTGGGGGTGAAAATAAAGACTTTCAATAGAAACTCCAAAATTTTCTAGAGGCCTAAAGGAAATATTAGGACTTGGGGAACGGCTGGCTGCCTCCCTCGGCGTAGACCCCCGGACCCGGATCCGGATCCGGATCCGGATCCGTCAAATTATTACGGGAACGGGTAGGGATTTAATTCCGTTACTCGGATCCGAATTTGTTTTGTCAAACAAAAATACGGGTCGGATACGGAATATATACTCTGATATGTATTCGACCCGGATCCAAATATAAATGGATTAATAATTTAAAATATATATTTATTAATATAATTTGATTAGGGTGATGTATTTGAGTAAGGTCAATTTGATTTCTTTTCTTATTTAGTTTTTTTTTTGTATTAGTTAGTAATTAGTTTACAAATATATTTTTTTCTCATTTTTGTTAGAAATTGTAAGCTTTGATAGATTTTTTCAGGTAGACATGACTCGGATCCGAGACCCGTCGGATTCGGAATATAGAATAGAAGACCCGTCGGATAAATGGGTTGAATCCGGATCCGATATAGTATGTCGAGTCCGGGCCTGAAATAATGAATTTCAACCCGTTGACAGGCCTACCTCGGCCCTCAGTCCCATTGGCTCCGCCATTGATCATATATAGTCAAGAGTATTGAGTCTTTTTTTTTTTTGGGACACGATAGACATATTACTACTCTATGCTATGGGAAGGGGGGTGACCCAATGGTACCAAGGAGGGGAACTGAACCACCATTGGTTTAAACGGATGCCAACGCACATGCTTGCGAAACATTTCAGAAAGCCCTAAATTTTTAAAATGCAGGCCAAGGGATTCGAGAGTAGTTGGTAATAGTCAACAGTGCTACTGATGATTATTGATGTCATATAATCTTGAAAACCTTAAAAACATGCAAATCATATTCCGGTGAATATAGCCAAATCTCAGTCGTGTGGGACTGCTTCTTATTATCGGAAAAGGGAGTTTAACATTAAGTGTTGAGGTTTATTTTAGCTGAAATAGCATCTTGAATCATGTGTCGTGTAACATGTCCCTCTCATACATTTTCTAATTTTCTTCCTTTCCTTCAAATTGATGCTTTTCTCGCATCTTCATTCGCTTAGGATCTTTTGTCTCAATATTTTGTTTCGAATCTTATTCTACTCTCTAAATTCGGTATCAATACTATCTCATTATCCTAATTCGAACCCTATTCTACTTGCAATATTTTGTATCAATTACAAAAGAATGAAGTTAAGACCATCTCAACACCTAACAAAGCCATGCAGAAATAATCTTCTACCAAATAACCAAAGGCTTTCTACATATCAAAAAATTAGTTCATATCGGCAAGTAACTAGCACGACCAACAACTCCATTCAAGAAAGTTATCCAGTAACACATCATCATAGTTCAAGTCAAGTCCCTTTCAACATATCTCAATGAACCCGCTTCAAACGAACTTTCAAAATTACTCCAAGTTAGGTTTTTGAAAGTGGCTTAATTTGCCATTTACAAAAAGCAGGAAGGAAGGTAGTAATAAAATGAATGAAAAAAATAATAAAATGAATGAAAGTTTACCAATTGACTCAATAATGTTTATAATTAGAATAAAAGCTGAAATGTTACCAATTGTTTCAATAATGTTAGTAATTAAGATTAAGAAGAAAATTTCTCTCGTTGAAAACTATTTACCGACCTTACACTTCATCTCCAATTATTTCTTGTGCTTAAAATTTCTTGCTCAAAACAATGGTAAAATATTAAATAGCCAACCAAAGTATACATGCTCTAGGGCAAAACAAACAGCATGCAAGAAAGAAAAAACACTTTATTGCCATGAAAAATCTTTATAATAAGACCATGAGCAATTTGCGTAGTTGTATATGCTTTATATAAATATGAAACAATACTACTAAAATAAGAAATATCTTAATGATGAATAATATATTATGAATATGTCTTAAATAATATTATCAATAAAATAAGATAGTTTAAACAATAACATAAATAATTATATTAAAAAAGAATGCTATCATTAATTATACTATCAATGATAAATATTGTAATACTATGATATCAATCAACTAACTATGCAAATATGTGCAGAAATAAACTATGATAATAATTTATATACAATACTACTAAAGATATTGCATATCATTTACAATTTTAATGATTGATTTGTTATGATCATAATCACGTGCTCAAAAATACATTTTCTCGAGATATAACATTTTTTATGTACCAAATTTCTCTCAAAATTTTGATTCTTAACGTAATACAAATGAAGTAATTGCCGGTTATACAAAATGTTTATTGCATATTAAAAACAAAAAATTTATACTATATTCTAGCGTACAAAAAATCTAAAGATGGAAGGTTAACTAAATTAATGTATATTTTACTATATTACTAGAGCTGCCATAGTAATAAGAGAAAATCTTGTTATGATTTATCAAACCAATGCATGAAATCAAACTTAACGAAATATTTGTTAAAACATGCTCATATGTAGCCATTGTGAAAGAGATCATGGACTAAGTCCTTCTTCCAACTCCAGATCGAATCAATTGGAAGTTGTGACATTTAAAATCAATGCAAGAGTTAAAAAATTTCTTAAGCCTATGCTCTGTATATTTTCATAAAAAACTTAAGCAAGATTAAGAAAAGATCTTAACATTCTTTAGGAGCACTCTCAAGTGTATGTAAGTTGAAGTTATGAATCTATACCTTCTTTTGCTTTACCAACATAACCAACTTTCAATGCCAATCCAATAATATTTTCCCTTTTCATAATTGGTTCTTCTTGCTCATGCAACTTGAAAAAGTTTTTTTTTTTTTAATTTTATTCTTCACCAAATCTTAATTTAAGCCATTTTATATTGCATGAATGACTCAATTAATGATTAACACCACCACTTTATTGTCCCCATATTCACATCGAGAAGTTGTAGGAATTATAGAAATTAATTGACAGTTTAGATAGGAGCATTATATTAAGGGTAAATTTTACTTTACCCCCTATGGTTTAGCTTTGTTCTGTATAACCCTTCTGTGATTTCAAAAGTTTTGCATAACCTCCTCATAATTTGGACTAAAATGTTAAAGTGACAGAATTTGCATTCTATAATGGAGTCAACTAAAATGTCAAAAATACCACTATGTAAAGTTGAAATTATATATTAACCATAGGGGATTGTGTATATATTTTGAAAACTATACAAAATTAGTTACACCTTTGATTATTATTCTTGAGAACTAAATATAGAAATATATGTTGACAACAAATACTATATCATAACTTACCACACTTTCTTTGTACACAGACATGTAATGTACTCTATAATTAACAGAAAGGAAAAATATTATGGTATTAACAATCAACATTTTATAAAAACTTTAGTACAAAAAATATAAAAAAATTAGAAAAATATAATCACGTGCAAAGCACATGTAATATTACTGGAAAAATATTGTAGTGTGCTGTACGTGGTTAGATGGTATTTACTTTGATCATTTTTGTAATAAGATTTTTTTATTTTAGAGTATTTTATTTTGGCATTTGCATTTGTATTATAGAGTTCACAATGGAAGTAAGATTATAAAATAGTATTACAAAATTTATAGTATTAAGCTACGAAACTCTGATTGTGCACATGCTTTCCCTTGTTGCTTAAGGAGCCATGCCAATTTTTTTTGGCTTTTGGTCGAGTAACTAACTTGTCTCGCAATTGGAACACAATATCATACACGACTTTATAAGAAAATATGTAATTCAGCAAACATTTCGAACTGATAAACAAACCAGGACCAATTAATTTCTTGCAAACTAAAATCTCTTTGATGCATGAAACTGCTATACCTTAGTATCTAGCCTGTCCTGAAGCTCTATGGTCTTGAGTTTTTCTGGCCTACCTTGCTTTATTTTATTGTTGGTTGAACAATCTCTTTTGTTCTTCAGACAGTAAAGCATACCAAACAAAATAATAGTAGTGATAATGCACGTAGTGGTTTTGTGCAAAAAATATATATATATTAGAGAGGTTCATCGACCCGTAATTCTAAATTTGGTAGAGATTTTTTTTTTCCCTATGAAACCTATTTTCAAATACTGTCTCAGCTTTATTTTGGTAATTTGAAATTCAGTTATTTTATTTCAGCCAGATATTTGGTAATATCCAGAGTTTTATAT